CCCCGTGCCTGGGAGGGGAGCTGTTCTGATTAATTGGCGCGCCATGGGAACTGTGCAAAGCGCCCCCAGTCTGACACGGGGGCTAATGAAAGGGTGGGGAGAGGGGGCGATATGGTGAGGGATCCGGGAGGGGAGTGGGGGCTAGTGGTTAGAGCAGGAAAGGCTGAGCGCCAGGCCTCCAGGGTTCTGTTCCCAGCTCCGGGAGGGGAGTGGGGGCTAGTGGTTAGAGCAGGAAAGGCTGAGCGCCAGGCCTCCAGGATTTCCCCCTGGCTCTGGAAGGGCAGTGCGGGCTAGTGGTTAGAGCAAGGGGGCTGGGAGCCAGGACTCCTGGGTTCTCTCCCAAGCTCTGGGACAGAGCCGACCCTACAATAACATCAGAACTGGGCTCAGCAGGGGGCTAGTGGTTAGAGCAGGAAAGGCTGAGAGCCAGGCCTCCAGGGTTCCCTGCCTCCCCAGGCCCTGTTGGGTTCTTGCTGAGCCGGGTGCTTTTCCACATGCTTATCAGGCTTGGGGGGCTCAGCTGGGGAGACTGTGCAGATTCCACACCCGCTCCCTGTTCTCTCCTCCCCCAGGCTGGAGTTCAAGGTCAAGAAGGACGGCTGGGGCCCCTGGGGGGCAGCGGGCTCCCGCCAGATCCAGTTCCAGATCTGCCAGGGCGACGTGGCGCTGCCCCGGAGCAGCGGGAAGGTCCTGATCGTCAGCATCGGGCCCGGGCTGCCCCCCCGGCCCCAGGCCCGAGGAGCCAGCCCTGGCCGTGGGGGAGGCACCTAGAACAGGTGGGCGAAGGCCCGCGGCAGGGGGAGGGCTAATCGCTGTCGTTCCCACGGCAGGGCCCACGCGGAGGGACACCAGGAAGAGCAGGTACATGAACGCCAGCAGCGTCCCCGGCCGGAGCTACCCGCCAGCAGCAGGTACGAGGCGCCTCTTGCAGCAAGGGAGGGGAAGTGGGGCGGGGAGGCGGGCGGCTTGCTCCAGGCCATCAGTCACCCCCCAGGCTGTGGGCAGGGGAGGAGAGATGGCTACCGGATGCCTTCCTCAGCGTGCCCACGGTGGCCGCTCAGCTTCTGTCCACAGAGGCCTGGAGCTGGACTCTGGCCAAGGCTAGAGGGCCACCTCTGCCCCTTGGGCAGCGCTGCCTAGCTGCATGGCCCAGGGAGGGTGGGAAATTGAGGACCACAGGGCCTGCCCAGAATGAGTATCCACTGTCTCCTCCCCCCACAGGGGGGTCCAGGCAGGACGTTTGGGTCCCCCATGGGCTGGAAGTGACTCTCCCCCTTCCTTTCCAGGCACAGAGAGGGGCTACAGAGGCCGGGGAGGCAGCCCCGGGCCCCGGGCACCAGCTGCATGGCCCAGGGAGGGTGGGAAATTGAGGACCACAGGGCCTGCCCAGAATGAGTATCCACTGTCTCCTCCCCCCACAGGGGGGTCCAGGCAGGACGTTTGGGTCCCCCATGGGCTGGAAGTGACTCTCCCCCTTCCTTTCCAGGCACAGAGAGGGGCTACAGAGGCCGGGGAGGCAGCCCCGGGCCCCGGGCACCTTTCCAGAATCGCCTCTCCCTTGCCCGGCAAGGCAGCATGGAGCAACCCACCCTGCCCCGGCATGGAGCCAGCCCCCGGGCCAAAGTC